GTTTGACCAGTATGACGCTGTCATAGTGAAGATTATTTGCTGTCACCTGCCCAACATTTCACACTCGCCTATTCATACCAACTTTCACGCGCACATTTCATTTTCGTCTTATTATCGATTTCGTAGATCCTACACTTAGTAAAATATATATCAGATGATTTTGTATTATTGACCTACGCATAATAACACGTACATTTATGTATATCTGCGCTTAGTGGATATATAGTTATTTGAACAGATCTATGGTCGAAATTACCCAGTGCTTTTCGCCGGGTGTAACTTCTCATAGAACCCTGTAGTAGTTTAGGGTTTGTCTATGAATGCAAATTAATCGAACTCTAATAAGTTGTATAAATAGATGAATGATGATAGGAAACGGTCTATGAGATGCTATACCTGGTGTAAACGTAGATTTATATAGATAAATAGGGCAAATTACGGTCATCCTTGAGGTATGACCAAATTATGAAAAAACTCCTCTTGTTTGGGTGATTACAACCACCACCTCCTTTTAAATATTTTTAGATAAAATTTATGTTATTCGGTTATTTAATGAACCAACTCGTATATTCAGTTCTTGTAAACAATATGAAATGTTGGCGCACCGAAATTTCGATTCAGTTTTACCAATTTAATATCCCTAAATTTACCTCTTAAAGGGCTTTTTGATAAGATAATACATAGTTGATTGGATAATTGTAATTATCCAAATATGAAAAGAAGTTTAATAATTTGACCATAACTCAGGAGTGGCCCTAATTTATACAAATAATTATTCACTAATCACGTATACATATATGTAAGTGTTATTATGCGAAGATTTTGGACCACAAAATTTATCAAAATAAAAGAATAATAATAATAATAATAAAGGGAATTATGGCTGCATTAACTTCATCTCCACCACCACCCCCTCCTATAAATAAATGGCCCCCTCTCTAATTGATTTCACATCTCACTTCAAAGACACAACAAATTCTTCATTCGTGTACTCTCAAACAGAAAAAAAGAAACACCTGTATTTTTCGTATTGGCATTTCGTCGAACACATAATGGGGAGCAGATTCATGCTTGCTTTCTTCACACTGTCTTCATTGTTCTTCATCCTCCACGCACGGGCCCACAAATCGGAGCCCGGCCCGCTAAATCTGATCTCCCGGAGTCTGGTCCAAAGCATAGCGGATCCACCATCGGAAAAGGAGGCGCCTTTATCAGCAGGAACAGCCGGCGGCGGCGGCGAGGAGAGAGAAGCTGATCAGGCGGAAGCTCCGGCGGAGTTGGAGAGCAGAAAAATGGGGGGCCACCACTCGCCGGACAAATCAGTGGCGGGCGGCGGAGTTATTATTGGTGGGCTCGTCACCGCCATTTTCGCGGCTGTTTATTGCTACATTAGGGTAACAAGAAAGAGGTCACCGGAAAGTTTGACATGAAATAGTTTCTTGATTTTGCAGTGTGTGTGAATATAGATTAGGATCTTATACTACTTTATTTTATTGGAGTTAGATTCTTTATTTTTTCTACTTTTGAGATAGTTGTTATAAAAATTTATACAAAATTGGATTTTAATTTTTATTTAATTTTTGGGTTAAATGATTCGATTTCACGTATTTCGATTTTCTATGCGATATGGCGTTGCCACTCGTTGTGACAACTTTTGTTACAACATAACACGATTATACAAGAAAAAGTTGTCGTTTTCGGTCGAAATTTACGCTAATCGCTAGAGCTAAAGTTTAAGGGAAGTTTTGAGTAACATTTTTCAAAATTTGAGATCTAATTGTAATTACACATAATTTGGGGGTAGTGCAATTAATCAAATGGCAACGGTTATTTCATCATTTACTCCAATTTATATTTGATCTAACTACCATTTATGAAAGGCTGCACCTATTTGCAATCTTAAAATTTCTAAGCGCAATACCTTACTTTATGCAAGATCAAAATATGAATAAATTTACTAAGAGCAAGACTGGAAATTACAAATATAACCCCAATATTAATTTTAATATTATTAATTCAAAAAATGCCTAATTGCTATTGCAAGACCAAAAAAATAAAAATGAAAAATGACCATTCTTCTTCACCAACAAAACCCAACATCTTCTTCTTCACAAAAAAACTCTTTCATATTCTCCAAAAACCCTCATCAAACAAAACCCTCAAATTTTACTGAAACTTGAAAAGAACGACATTATGGACACACGAAACATTAATATGGATGATTCTAAGGTCGAAGAACACAATGAGATAAGAAATGTTGTACTTTATTTAGCTTTGTGATCGTTTTCTCATTTTTCGAAAATAATTTCGCGTACACAAAAATTTGACGTTTACAGGTCGATATTTAGCAATAAAAACGACATTACAACGTCGATTTTCTCAGTTTCTGAAAAATCGACGCCAGCATGTCGTTTTAATTGCTAAAAATCGACACACTGATGTCGAATTTTGAACAAAATATCGACATACAAATGTCGAAAAAAATGCAAATAATCGACAACAACTTATTGTCGAAATTTAGTGAAAATTTTGACACCACTGTGTCGAAATTTTACAAAAAAATCGACAAGTACAAGTCGATATTTTTAAAACCACAATTCCTTCAACAATGGTGGTGGAATCTAACCCTAAAATCATCCCATATGTTCTAAATGGACTTGTGGCGACTGTCGACTGCAACGGCGACGGCGGTGGTGGTCGACTTCATCGGCGATGGCACGACGACGATCTACAAATGGTTCTCTGCTTCCATCCTTCCCGTTCTTCAATTGTGTTGGGTTTCTTTTTTTTTTTTTTTTTTTTTTTTTTTTTTTTTTTTAATTTGGTCTTGCAAAAGTAATTGGTGTAATTATGTTTTATTTTGTTTATATTTTACTAAGGTCATTATAGTCTTGTTACACTTAATTTAGTATAAATTTTTATTTGGTCTTGCCCTAAATAAATTTTGGATTGCATATAGTCGCTGCCTTTATAAAATGCACCTCAACATTGTTTGCCAAGTTTTATAGTTCATTATTTCTTTCTCATTCCGTAACACTATACCAAAAATTCGGTACTTTAAAAATTTGTATCTTTTATCGAAATGAACCTAATTTATAGTTAATTAATTTTATTTTTCATTTGGGTACCAATAAAACCGAAAATATATTTTAATATTTTAAAAAATTAAAACAAATATATTGAAACTAATTAATTCTTGAATTTGACATTCAAATTTAAATAATCGACCTTAAACATAAAAAAAGAGTGATTTTCAATAGAGGCTAAATAAGAGGAAAAAATATGAATCGAAAAGTATTTTATAATTTGTTATAACCTTAAATAATTTAAAATAAAATAAAAAAATAAAAAAATTCAGTATTTGGTACTGTACGACATTCCATGCATCAATACCGCATAACGTACCGAATACCGAAATTAAAAAAAAAAAATCACGGAACACCTAACCAAATTTTCGATTCAGTGCGGTCGGTTTACCGCCGAGTGAACACCCTTAGATCTTAGTGTTCAAAATAAATTACTATGGACTGAAACACAAGTAAACTATACTAAAGGTATTTAGTTGCAAAAACCCAAAATCCAAACCCTGAAAACTTATTTTCTCGATTAAAATAGGCTATATGTCCCTCAATATTATAATTTATGTGTATAAATTCAAGTCAAAATCTCCATATTTTAATAAATTAATAATATTTATTGTGTCAAAAATACCCTTAGTCAAATCAAATCAAATCCCCTCAAAACCTCTCTATCAAAACAAATTCTCAAACATCTTTCTTGCAAATATTAACATAAAAATTAAATAAATTTGTCAAAAAAAAATATACTATTTATTGTACAAACTCATACTCTAAAAACGGAACCGCCGCCGCGCCACCGTCTATCGTGAACTGCAAATAGCAAACTGACGCATCTGATTCCGTGAACTGAAAATTAGAATTTGTATTATTGAGTTGCAAACAACAAAATAACAATGATTCCGCCAAATGCAAACAACAAACTGAAAAGAAAAAAAAATCCACAATTTGCAATATTGTATTGCAAACAAAAGACTACATATGATTTCGCCAAATACAAACAATAAATTGAGAAAAAAATCAAAACGAGAAAACAATATGTAACATGAAATTGCATAATACAAAATGAAAAAAACTAAAGAAAAAAAAACGAGGTACTCACCCCAAATCCCTTGTAGCCAGCCCTAACTCCGTCACAAACTCTAGAACTGCGCCGCCGTAATGAACCCAATCAATTGAGTGCAACCAGTTATAGCCCTCGGCGAGGATGGTAGGGACCAAGGCTGGAGATATTGTGGGGACGAAGCGGAAGGTGGATTATGAACGCCGGTGAAGAGGTGCATCAAAATCTGATGGATCGATTACTGTAGAACCACTAACTAAGACCGGGGCGAGAATCTCCAAAATTACCTTCCATCGTAACAATTGGAGAATTATAAATTAAATACAAACCGCAAATAAGGTCTCTAAAATAGCAAACGATTTTTTCAAACAAAGAACAAGAAACATGTACCACAACAAAAAAATAAACGAAAAATATTTGGTTAGAGTTTGTTGAAGGATTTAGCTATGGCAGGATTCAAAATGAAAGAGAAAAAAATGGAATTGAGTAAGAAAAGAGAGAAAGAAATTGATCATAATTTTTTTTCGAATAGATGTTTATCGGAAAAAAAAACTGAAAGGAAGAGAGAGACACAATAGTTAAAAGAAGGAGAGAGAAATGAGATTCATTATAGATATAGAGGAGAGAGATATGAGATTTACTTTTTTTTTTTAATTAAAAGTGTTTTTGTCTATGTACTAATTATTTTATTTTATTTATATTATTTTATTTTATAAAGGACTTAGACTTATATTCCTATAACAATTAGGATTTCCACTTATAAAAGGACTTAGAGTTATATTCGTATAACAATTAGGATTCCCACCTATATAAGTCCAGAATAAAGAGTATCTAATCGATTTGCGCTAAAATAAAATTAAAGAATTAGAAAAGGAATAATTTATCCTCTGAGTACCGACTCAAAACCCCCAAACCTAAACCTAATTTTTCTGATACAATTTTCATCCGTCGCCTCAAAGCACTCTTTCGCACATCCGCCGCTTAATTCCTCCGCCGTTCCTTCACACCCGCCGCTTCATTCTTATTAAATTTCAGTTTTTCTTCATCCTTTTTCTCCTTTCACAAATGGCAACAAGTACGTATTTTTTTTAAAATTAAATTACTGTATTCAATTTAATTCAATTAATTAGGGTTTACAAAGCTGTAATTTTTGATTTAAATTTCTTCTCGCAGGATTGCAGTACGAGAACAATAGCGAGATTGGGGTTTTCTCCAAGCTTACGAATGCGTATTGCCTTGTTGCAATTGGTGGTTCTGAAAACTTTTACAGGTATTTAATTTTTCAGTGGCAGTTGTGTAATTAACGTGTATTTGTTTTGGTTTAATCTTAGTTTTTATTAAGAATTAATTTTTTGGTGGCAGCACGTTTGAGGCTGAGTTGGCCGATGTAATTCCGGTCGTTAAAACTTCCATTGCCGGCACTAGAATCATCGGACGCCTCTGCGCTGGTGAGAGTTCTGTTTTTATTTATTATTTATTTTTTATTATATATACAGTCTGTGATTTGCTACTGGCTTGAATATTCAATCATCTGAGAGAATGAATACTTTTTGGCAGGAAATAAAAATGGGTTGCTGTTGCCTCACAATACTACTGATCAAGGTGACCCCACTATTCATATAACTTGTTATATGCATGTATTGTATATGTCATATGTCTCAGTTTTGTGCTTCTTAAATGCTTATGAAATTCCGCCAACGTTTATTTATCAAGTGCAATTAATTTATTGTATGTAAGAAGTTTTTATTTCTCACTTTGAATTCCAACTTCTAGTGGAAGTATAGTTTGCTAATGGAGAAGACTTATTGGAACTTTTGCGATTACATACATAGCTAACGTTGCTTTAAAACATTGCACTGGATATAAGAGTGTAAGAGCCGAGAAGATTACCATGTTACCTTAAATTGATAGTTGATAAAATCGCTCTGATCAATCTTGTAGATAAATCAAAATAGTATTGTCAGTTTATTTCCAACATGTCCCGAAACTATGAGATCTTAAAAAAAAAAAAAAAAAAAAAAAAAATCGGTGATTATAAGCCACAGTGCTCGTTGCTATTGAGTTGCTTGTCTAACAAGAATAATACTTAGCATGGTGGTTCAAGTTTGCGAACTTGTCGGCATATATGATGTTGATACGACTCTTTGGAATTTCAATGCGTTTTTTATGATGGCCACTTCACTTTGTTTACTACACTCTTGTCTTGTAAAATCTTTATATGTTGCACTCTAACTCGTTAACCCGAAACCCGAAAACCTGAAAAACTGAAACAGGAAACCCGAAACCCTTACTATGGCAGTTAATAGGCACTGATACATCTGATTATCCTCTGGCGGAGGCTGAGACCATTTATATATGAATACTGTATTTGTTTGTACGATATTTTGTTGATTTTCTGGTTTCGTAGACCTAATGTTGATATCTGTATTTTGCTATTTTAGAGCTTCAACACTTGAGGAACAGTCTACCAGATTCAGTGGTTGTTCAGCGCATTGATGAAAGATTATCTGCCCTAGGGAACTGCATTGCTTGCAATGACCATGTCGCTCTTACACATCCCGATCTTGACAGGGTAAATATCCAGATACATTTCAACTATCTATCGTAATTTACAGTTGACACTTTTGCTTTGGTAAAGTTGTTAATGTCGAGTGTTTGGTAAATAGTTGGGAAAATGTTGTATTTTATGTCTGGACAACTTTATTCAGTTTCATGTTTGTGCAGATGTCTGAATTTCTCAGAAAACGTACGATTAAAATTCATTCTTGAAATACATTTGGTTATTTGTGTGGGTTACTAATGCTCGGTATTTTGTTCAGGAAACTGAGGAAATGATTGCTGATGTTCTAGGCGTTGAAGTTTTCCGACAAACTGTTGCCGGCAATATACTTGTGGGGAGTTACTGTGCACTTTCAAATAGAGGTGGCTTGGTAAGATTTTATTGTAAACTTTCGAACAATTTATTATTTTTCTCTCGACAAAGTTTATAAATATAATAGAAAACTTGTCATTGAATAATTTAATTAAAGTTTGTTTTGTGGGGCAGGTCCATCCTCATACATCAATCGAGGATCTAGATGAACTCTCGACACTTCTTCAAGTCCCTTTGGTGGCTGGCACAGTGAACCGTGGTAGTGAAGTGATAGCTGCTGGTCTGACGGTCAATGATTGGACAGCATTCTGTGGTTCAGACACGACTGCGACTGAGTTGTCTGTCCTCGAGAGTGTTTTCAAGTTGAGAGAAGCTCAACCGAGTGCTATTGTTGATGAGATGAGAAAATCATTGATCGACACCTATGTTTGAATTACCCTTTTGAACTTTGGATAAACCTTTCTCCTTTTCAATGTGTAGATGAAGCTACTACGATTCCTTCCGGGCTTGAGCTTTATTTTGTGGAAAGACTTTTTTTTTTGTCCTTGTTAAATTTTGTTACTCCATTATGTAAGCTTCGTAACTGTTGGATTAAAAGTATCATCTTGTTTTCTGTTCGTTTCAGTCACTTTGCGGCGGTGTTTATTCGTTAATGAATTGCTCTACTTGGGTGACATGTATTATTCGCACAATATCTTGTTATCCGTGAAAAATCTGTTCTTGATCTGTTAATCCTTGAAAGTCTAATTAGTTCGAAGTATTAAGTTCAAATAACAATCACAATTTGTTTTTTTAATATTTATTTTTAAAACACATTAAAATATTTATTCGAATCACAAAGTAATAGCAACGTGGGTAGTTTTTGCACTTAAGATTTGATAATAAGAGATGGTATAGCCCTTTTACGATCATGTCGATTCATTCAAGGCAACGCGATAATCGCATTTCCTTTTTCTTTTTTTAATTTTCTTTTCCGACTGAACTAATACTCATATTTCAAAGTTTAAAAATATTACAAAAGCCTGTCAGCAAAGGTTAATAGTTCTTAAACGAATTCTTAGAAAAGCTAAGAGAGGAGCAGAGCAAACTCTCGCCCCCTTGGATTCCGACTCCACGTCAACTATTTAGGGTCTCCAAGTTGCCTGATTCATAAAAAAATATGATATAAATATCACGAACGACAAACTACAACAAGCATTTATCGTTAATAAAACAAACATAATTTATATTAATCAAATGGTTTCCAAGCCAATTACGTACACCTTTAATCCAAAAATAAACACTAACAGAACAACACAAAAACATGGTTCAACTACGTGCAGAGCATATCTAAAGGAGGAAATGAAACATACCATCTAACGCTGAATATTAAGCATGGCTTTTGCTTCAGTTTGCTCCTCCAACAAATTATCGCTCGCATACTTGCTCAACATTTCCTGCTTCTTCTTCTCCAATACCATCTTTTTAATCAACTCCTCATCAGGCAGTGGCACATGTGCAATAAATTCGTTTTCCATTTCCTCCTCTTTCTCTCTCTCGATTCTCCGTTCTTCCTCCACCACATCCTCTTCTCCCTCGAACAAAATCTTAGACACAGCACCTGCTTCTGCCACGTCACCGCTCATTACAGCCCTCTTGGCTTCCTTCTTTATCTTCTCCATCTCCATCCAATCTGCCAGCGCTGCAGCCCTCATTTCCTTCTCCGCTTTTCCTTCTAGTCCCTGTAATACACCATCCTCATCGTCCCTATAGCCATAATAACTTGAATCGATTCTTTTGTATATGTCATACCTACAAACAATAGACATAAACTACATCAGAACAAACCAGTACATAAAAGTAAACAAATTACCAAGGGATTCATTAGACCCTTCTAACCAACTAATCACCAATTGAAAAAGACAATATCTTTGACTAACAGTGAATGAAACTATCTCAAACTAAACATGAACTAATCACCAATTGAACAAGACAATATCTTGGACAAATAATGACAGAAACTATCTCAAACTAAACAAGAACTACAAAGCATACTTGAGTCATAAAACCTAAATACTAAATCTACCAACATTCAGACAAAGTATTCGAAATTAATAACTTCTATCGATTCTTCTGTATTATATCATACCTACAAACAATTGGCAAAAACTACACAAGGATAAGGCATTCATTAGCCCCTCTAACCAACTCATCAAGAAATCCACTTAAGAAACCAATAATTTCTGTTGATAATGGGTTTTTAGCGAAAACAAATTCTGTTCAGATTCCTGGTAATCAGTATCCAGAAGAATAATACCATGAATTTGAATTCTTCGCAAACTTCTATATGACATTTTTTATCGAAGTTGTTTTTAGGATTGAAGCTGAAGGTTTTTCGTAAATTGCTTTCCGATTTAATCCGTTGATGAAAGGATCATACCTTTCGAGTAACTATTCTCTTGAAGAATTATCTTTACACCACATTCTTTCCTACTAAATCATGTCTAAGATATACAATTCAAACAGTAACTAAATCACCAAATATCTTCGACTAACAACGACCTGAAGATATCTCAAACTAAACAATAACTACATTGCATACTTTAGTCATAACAAAACCTCAAATAATAAATCTACACCAACATTCAGTCAGACCAGTCAGATAAATTAAGAACGTAACCCCATACAAAAGCAAGCATCACTACAATACCTCCCAAATCGCATTCCATAATAAAATGTATAAGAAATAATAAACATAGCATTGCATCAACTACAATAAGACTAGTAAAAAAAAAATACCTGGTGCGCCTCTTACGCAATTCCGGAGGCTTCTCGAACAACTCCCTAACACCGGGCAGCTTCTTCGCCGCCCCGAAGTATCTATACCCGGGGCCCCTTCCGCCGGGGTTGGGAACATCGATAATGTTACCATCCAAATCAGTCATCTTGGCTGAATGCCTTGTATAATTCGGCCCTCCTAGCTCGACGATTCGCCGCTCCCAATGGACCTTCTCTCGAATCAGCTTGTTGATCTCGTCGTTCAAGTCCCTCAGGCGGTGCTCTCCGAGGCCTTCGTTCTGGATTTCGGCGACTTTCCGGCCAATTTCGCGGAGTATTTGCTGCCGCCACCTGTCCGCCTCCGCCAAGTCGCGGCACTCGGAGGCGAGGTAGGGGCGCCGCTCCTTGGGCTTCTTCTTCTCCTCCTCTTTCATGGTGATGAAACGATTCAGCATCGACTGCGCTTTCTCCTCGTTACGAGCCATGGCGGAACAATTGCAGTGAGAATTAGGGTTTCTGTCAACTGAGGGTTTGTAGATTCCGAAGAAGAGAGGTGATGAAGGAACTAGGGCGGGGAAGGGGAATAAATTAGGGCTGATAAATGGAAGGAAATTAAAATTAAAATTAAAAATAAATAAATAATTCGAAGGAAAAACAATATTTAAGTGAAAAAAATACAATTACAATAGAACCTCGATAAATTAATAATCTCGATTAAATAATAGTTTATCTCGGTCCTGATTCGGTTAAAATATGTTAAATTATTAATTCGATAATTTAATAATTTGCTAACTTAATGGATATTCTCTAATTTCGACTGTATTAATTTATAAAGGTTCAACTGTATATAAGTAATAAATTTCTCACACAAACTATACATATAGTACCCCTATTATAAGAATACAATAGTAGAACTATTTTATAAATTGTTTTTGGGAGGAAAAAAATCGGAAACTTTGGAACTAATTAAATATGATTGGAAATTGCAATATCCGAGAATTATATATGCAATTCCGATTCCAATCCAAACAATTTTGAAAACAGTATGAATAAAGATTTCGGAAATCGAAATAAAGCATGTTCCAAATTTGGAAATTTTTCGAAACCAAAATCGGTAGAAACTGGAAATTATGTTCAGATTTTCACCTATGTTAGGTACATAATATCCAATTTACAGCAATGTCTTAATCAAGAAGTAATAATTAGAATGTTAGTTATGAATAAAAAGACGAAAAAATTGAGTATCGGTCGTTTTCGGAAAGTAGAATAAGGGTCTATGAGGATGCTACATCGGGTGATCTTGCACTACAGATCTATACAAATAATTATCTATTAAACACACGTACACGTGTGTATTATTACGTGTTGATTAATGTTGTAGGTGTAGGATCCCGATGCATTTTATCGGGTGTAGTATTTACGAAACCGTAAAATAACTAATTGGGAGTAGGAATAAGGGGGGGTAAAAAGAGAATATTTAAGTGGGGGACGAAAAAGAAAATAAAAAATATAGAACGGGTAAACTATATATATTTACTTGATTAAAACAAAATAAAGAACAATTAGAAAACATAATTCATTTTCCGGCGCCTTTCAGGAAACCATGGTAACCCTCTCTCTCTCTCTCTCTCTCTCTCTCACCCCTTCGTCTTCATTCCAATTGAAGTTCTTCAGTTCGCCATTCTCGAATTTGCTGTTCATACGAGCTGAATTACATTTGAATAACTGCTTTAATTGAATTTTAATTTGATTTCAGGCCCTCGAGGAAGAAGAATACTTCGCTTCTGTAAAGCAGTTGGAAGAATCAGTGAATTCAAACCCTACCGATCCGTCTCTTCGTTTTAATCTGGTATTTAACCGATTTATTGCTTTCTTCTCTTACTTCGTGTTTTTTTTTTTCTTCCTGCTGTTTGCGTGCGTGTTTCAGCTCTCAATTGTGTTAATTAACTGTGTGGAAATCGCAATTTCAATTTCAGGGCGTGTTGTTATGGGAAATGGGAGAGAAAGAGGCGGAGATGAGAGAGAAAGCGGTGGAGCATTTGATGGTAGCGGCGAAGCTCAACCCTCAGAATGGTGCTGCATTCAGATATTTGGGTCATTATTATGCCCTCGTTTCGCCTGAGCCGCAGCGTGCTCTCAAGTGCTACCAGAGAGCTGTTTCCCTCAACCCCGAAGATTCCGATGCTGGGGTATTGATTCTTTGATGATATATATAGATATGTTCGTTGAAATTTTTGAATATATGTGTTTAGCATTGATTAATTTTGTTGGATAATTTACTGATTTTGTTAGGGTAGAATTCTGATTTTTTTTTTCGGAGCTTGTTTAGATTTTTTGTTAGTAAAATAAAATAAACTGGAAATGCAGTACAAATTATTGTCAGAACTCAGAAGTTATGTACTATCAAGTTTAAATTACTGATTTATGTGGAAATAGTTCACTTCTCCCAAAATTAGGTGCAATGTATAAGTTTAGTGGCTTTTCAATAACTTGCTCAACCTGATAATTTTAATTTAATAGTGGCAATGTAGAATTTGAGAAAGAAAGTAATGTTTGTTTGTATTTGAGAAGAGATAATTTATACTCTAGCAGTCAAATCATGTTTAAAGGTTTTGGGAGAAAGATATTTTGTAAGAAGAATTTGAAAAATAAAGTGGTATTTGTTTGTATGCCAGTGCAACAATCAAATCATGTCTGTAGGGAAACTTTGAAAATAAATCCCAAAGGTTTATGAAGTCCAACTTGAAAATCGTAACAAACATTGATTTAATTTGGGAAAAGAGTAAAAACATTGCTGGCTCTGTTACTGTAACTAGAGAAGTGATTATTTGAAACATGAAGATTTGAAGTATTCAATCAAATCCGTGAATTGCAGGAAGCAATTTGTGATTTACTGGATGAGGAAGGGAAAGAGAGCTTGGTGCTTGCTGTCTGTCGTGGAGCTTCTGAGATGTCTGCGAGGGCTTTCTGGGCTTTTCGTCGACTGGGATACCTTCTGGTTTTACATTTCTCCATTCATTTTCTTATTGGTCCTTATTTTTTTTTTCCGATTCATTTTTTTATAAAGGTTGGCTAATTGAGTACTTTCTTGCAGGCTCATCAGAAGAAATGGTCCGAAGCCATACAGAGCCTCCAGTATGCCATTCGTGGTTTTCCTACATGTGCTGACTTATGGGAGGTGCTTACTCTTTTTTTTTTTTTTTTCCTCATAGATAAGATACCCTTTTCTTTAGAATTCTAATTCTTTTTTGTAGTCAGTCATTTTAGCCTTTTGTCTTTGATGTGCTAGTGCAGACATTGGGTCTTGCCTACCAACGTATGGGCATGTTGACTGCTGCACTTAAGGTAATTCTGCCTATCTATCTCTTCTCTGGCTTTCTTTATCTTTTTTTCTCGTCATATTATTGCTTTAAAGGAAAATCATCCTTTTACCTTTAGCAAAATCATTTTGTTCGGATTCTCCTTGTGTTGCTTCACCATTTGAGAAACCAATTACATAGTTTCATCACACGTTACGCAATGATTAAAACTCTGTACAAAATTCGTATGGCTTATCTGCATGAACCTGAACATAAGATGAGTACCAATTTTCATTGCCTTTTATACAAATTGTTCTAGTCGCAAATTGCTTGCTTTTAAAAACATAGTTAGCTCATCTATTGACTGAGAATAATGATATTGGTCTTTACAGTTTACATGGCACTATCATTAAAACTAAACTTGGTATAAGCATTATTGCAGTATTTAGTTGCTAATCGTCATTTGTATTCTCACAGTCGTACGCAAGAGCAGTTGAGTTGGATGATTCAAGGGTTTTTGCATTGATTGAAAGTGGAAATATTTCTTTGATGCTTAGTTCTTTTAGAAAGGTAAGACATTTTTTGTTTTACGTTTTTCTTTCCCTAAGAGTTGCTTTGCTCCGTTGCTGGTGTTCTTTAATTATCTATTCGTAAGCTTACCTTTCATATTTATTCACATTCTTCGACTCCAATTCCATTTCCCAACTTTTTGTGAGATTTAAGTTTTTTCTTAAATTTCTTTCTTTTTTTGGGCGATTAAATTAGGTCTTATGGTGATTATTATGCGGATCAAACTTAGATAATTTTCTTCAGTGTCTATTACCGTTCTATGTATTAGGCAATTAGCACAATCTTTGAAAATGAGAGTTGAAATATTTTTATGCATCTTTGTCGATTTCCCTAAGATATTGATTGAGAATCGACTGTATGTTGCACGCTGCAATAAGCGAGATTAATCTAGAAAGTGAACACTTTCTTTGAACACCCCAAACGGAAACACGGGATAGATTATATTTTATTTGCAAATTGGGCTGTGTAATGGCCAATTAGCAGGCCCGTTAGTCTCTTCTTTGGAGGGTGGCATGTCCCATGTTAGGCCCACACCTTATAGTCTTGTAATTGAGACTTCGGTAGAACGTACTCCATTTCGGTAGCAACTAATTCATATTGGTTTTCGCTTCGCGTAAATGATTTCCCCAAGTTGCTAAAGGAGTTATACCCACCAACTTATAAATAACTCCATCTCTCCTTCTACAATCAATGTTGATATAAAAAACATAATGCATTAACTAAAATGCATATTTTACACTCACCCATGGATTAACTAAAACATGCTTCTCGAAAAATGTTGGATCATTGATGGCAACAACATTTAATGTAACTACTTTTGAGTTGCTTTTTTGAAAATTGTTGTTACTATTCTCTTTACTTTTTTTTTCTTTCTTTTCTCTAAACAAAGGGAATCGAGCAATTTCAACAAGCTTTAAATATTTCACCTCACAATGTATCTGCACAATATGGGCTTGGTTCTGCACTTCTTGGTTTGGCAAAGGAATGTGTCAATATGGGTGCCGTTAAATGGGGATCTTCGCTCTTAGAGGTTAGTTTCTCAAAGTAGAATCTGTCTTCTTTCTACATTATTCAAGTGATGATTAAGCTTTGGCTGAAATAAATCTCAAGCTGAACATAGGAAGCATCGGAAGTGGCCATGCGTGGTACATCTTTAGCAGCAAACTTCTCATGTTTGTGGAAGCTACATGGAGACATTCAGGTATAATGTTATAACTGTTTTTCCTTTGAAGGCAATATATTCTTGAATCTTATCCAGGTCTTTTTGATGTATGATACATTTCATTTGCTTATGATTCTACTTATACTTCTGAGAACGACTTCTATTTCATTTTCTCTTAGCTTATATATGCCAGATGTTACACATGGACGCCTACACATGCTGATGAGATATCTTTCAGTACTTCTATCAGTACATGGAAAAGAAATTGCTTTATAGCTGCTAGAAATTCCCGTCGCTCCTATCAGCGTGCCTTGCACTTGGCCCCTTGGCTAGCTAATATATATGCTGATGTTGCTATTGCATCAGATCTTTGTTTGTCTCTTAAGGAGTCTCCTGAAGAGGAGCTGAATGTTTGGTAACTATTTCTTTCCGTATAATGAAGGGTGAAATGCAAATTCTTTTTTCTTGAGGTTTGATATAATTACAAGAAAAACTCGACTAACTTTCAGAATTTCAAAAACGAATAACCACTTGAATTTTGTTTTTATTTTCCATCTCCCCCTTTCGAAAGGTGTAATCTTCAAATAGAAACATATGTCAAGGGGGTATTTGGGTTTTTTTTGTTTTTTGAAAATAGACTAAATCTCAAGGATAAATTTTTGAAATTTACCCTAAATGAATTCGTCTGTGTATATAATTTTTATCTCACTCTACCACAATAACCAGGTCTGTGGCTGAAAAAATGTGCATCGGTGGTATACTACTCGAGGGCTACAATGAAGAATTTTGGGTGGCACTGGGATGTTTATCAGATCATATTCCTTTAAAACAACATGCTTTAATACGTGGGTTGCAATTGGATGTATCTCTAGCTGTTGCATGGGCGTACCTCGGGAAGGTAGTTACTTTTGAGCTGAATGAGTGATGGTTCTGTATTATAGCAGGATGGATAATCTTATGCTTTTACTTCTACCTTCACTTAAATTTAGTACTTTCTGATGTTGAGGAAGAAAATAGTAATGACTGAGGGGTTCAGCTCTTCAGAATCTTCAGTTATGTTTCCATGTCCAACACCCTACAGATATGATTCATGAAATGTCTTCAAGCCTCTGGCACACATCAACTATTATGTGAAACTGCAATAATGCAAATATTTAATAACATCGACAAAATAATTTTTATGAGTTTATAACAATAAGATTTAGTACCATGCCTTGCTTTTTTCCCTTTAAAAAAGAATATCTTTGCTATTAATTTTCTCCTTAACTATGAGTATCCTGACATGTTTGAAGTCCATATGGAATGTTCGGAAGCATCTTCAACTTGTTTTCCCAAGTATTTGACTCAAGACATGCGTTTTTACGCATTTAAATCTCCTACTGATTTGCTCTCTCAGAAGTAATCCTCCAAATTTCCCATCTTCTTGGAGAAAAAAACTTTTTTTTTGTCTACACTCTAGTAACTTGGCCAGTACATTGTATTCTGTATTTAGTTCGGTGTTTTTTCTACACTTGTGTTTGACAAACCTTCGAAATCCCCATAGAGGGTCTAAATATTGGATTTTTGTAGCTTTACAGGGAGGAGGACGAAAAGCAATTGGCTCAGCAAGCATTTGATTCTGCTAGAAGCATAGAACCTTCACTTGCATTACCATGGGCAGGCATGTCAGCTGATGCCAGTACTAGGTAAATTCAGGTACTCTTGTGGACTACATAGATAATTACCATTGGCATGTCCCATGCAAAATGTAATTTATATTTGCTTTATTCAGAAATATTGACCAGAATGAAGCATATGAGTGCTGTTTACGGGCAATACAAACATTTCCGGTACGATATGTTCCACCCATGCTTGTTTTTACGTTGTTTCCTGTAAATGAGGCATGCCATATAGAATTAAATTTTTAACCTTTTATAATAGGTACATTATAGTTATCTTCTAATTATATCAGTATGCAAATGGTATTTTGTTGGCAGCCTGTGCCTTCCCAGTCAGAAAATATATACTTGTTGAATATGTAAAGTGGACTCATAGTTGCTATATTGATCAGCTTGCAGAATTCCAAGTTGGTCTTGCAAAGCTTGCTTTGCATTCGAGTTATTTGTCATCTTCAGAGGTAATTAGTAGTAACATCTCTTCACAGGTCTTGTTCTTTAAAGCACATACTGGTTTAGATGCCATTCTTTAATTGAAAAGAGTTTGTAGAATGCATGAACAACTTCATTTGTGATGGCTGTTATAGGTTTTCGGAGCCATTCAACAGGCACTGCTTCGTGTTCCGGACTATCCCGAATCTCACAATTTGAATGGGCTAGTTTGTGAATCAAGGTCTGATTATCAAAGTGCTATTACCTCCTACAGGCTGGCACGATGTGTTCTGAAATCTTTTGAAGATGAATCATCAATATCCCATGTAACAGATGTATCCATCAATTTGGCCAGATCACTTTGCATGGTAATATTACTTGCCATAATACTTCTTATATATATATATATATATATTTATTTAGGCAAACATTCAGGTCCTTTGCTGATATAGTCCGTATTAATAATACGTCCTTTTTTGGTTTAGGCAGGAAACGCAGGCGATGCAGTTGAAGAGTGTGAGTATTTAAGGCAAAAAGGTAAAGTGCATCTGGAATAATTTGCTGATATAGTCCATATTTAATGCTTATTTATGTTTGTAGGTATATCCTATTCCTAGAAAAGATGGAAATTAAGTTACATTTTTTTAAATTGATTCTTGTTTAATATGATCTTTTTTTTACTGAAATAATATTGGACTGTATGCTGCAAAAGATGCTAAAAATTGGTAGTTAATATATGCTTCCACTGATATGGCACCTTAATTTTTTAGGACATTTGGATTCTAAGGGTCTGCAAATATATGCTCTATGCTTATGGCAACTTGGCAAGAACGATATGGCTCTGTCCATGACGAGATCACTTGCTTCAAGCATTTTATCAATGGAAGAAAATGATGCTGCTGCTTCCATTAGCTTCATCTGTAGGTTGCTTTATCACATTTCTGGGCAGGATTCGGCAATCGTAAGCATTTTGAAGATGCCCACGGAACTGTTTCACGGTTCAAAGATTAGTTTCATTGTTTCCGCTATTCATGTTCTGGACCAAAAAAACCAACTTGAGGCTATTGTTTCTAGAAGCCGTTCCTTTGTTACATCGCGTGAAGATATCATCGCAATGCACATTTTAATTACACTTGGTAAACTTGTAAGTGTTCCCATTTTAATATGGTTTCTATCTGATGCTCATTAATTCATTAATATCTAGAGTAATTCATTGTGGGTTTTTTCAGCTGAAGAACGGACACGAGGACTCCCTTGGAATTCAGAAGGGAGTAGATCACCTTAGGAAAGCACTTCACATGTACCCTAACAGTAGTGTGCTTAGGTAAATAAATGCCTTCACAATCTTCATTTTCTCGCTTTATATTGTAAGCATCATAAAGTACATATGTGCTTAGCTTTTGTAAGTATTGATCAGAATATAAATTCAATCTATGTTATCCTTATGCTCATCCAAACATTATTATTGGATGTTGTAAGTTGATTCCATGGATCTGCATTTGTCATATTATATAATTATGTTCCAGGTTCATCTGACTAAACTTATTACAAACAGAAATCTCCTTAGTTATCTCTTACTATCAAGCAAAGAATGGAGAGATCTCCGTCTTGCAACTAGATGCTCTTTCCTGGACTTGTCCGAGCATCCAAAGGATGGTGGCATGAAATCTGCATGTGAGATCCTCGGTGCTGTAACTGTTGCTTGTTATGAGACAGCAAGCAATAATGAAAAATTCTCGATTCCAATCTCTGGGCATCAACAGCCTTTCGTATCGGGATCTATCAAACTGTTGCAAAAGTATATTTCTTCCTTCCTTTGGATTATAGATACATTTTTTTCTCCTTTATTTGAAAGATTTTGCACTACAAATTTACAGGTTTTTGCATCAAGAGCCGTGGAATCGTAATGCAAGGTATTTGCTCACGTTGAACTGTTTACAGAAAGCACGTGAAGAAAGATTTCCTGTACATGTTTGCCGTGTTCTTGAACGCCTTACAGCTGTCTCTCTATCTAATCGTTGTCTCTCAACTGAAGACTCCTTATCCCAATACCAGAATTTCCAACTTCTACTCTGTGCGGCTGAGGTTAATCTACAACAAGGCAATAACAATGAATGCTCAAGACTTGCAAGAAGTGCTTTAGGTTCTTCCGTTCATAATAGCTATTTATTTTTCGCTCATTTGCTACTATGCCGTGCGTGTGCTGCTGAAGATGATACCGTTGGCCTGAGAAAAGAATACAGGCGATGCTTGGAACTTGGAACTGATTTTCATATTGGGTGGATTTGTCTCAAGTTTATTGAATCTAGATATGGCCTACAAGATGATTCTACTGTATTACTCTCGAGCTTCGAAGATTGCTCCAAAGATGATCAACATTCGCGGCATATGTGGATGGCTCTATTTAATATGGTGCAGGGTTTGGTTGCTATTTGGTTTGGCGATTTTGTTGCTGCAGAAGAGTTGTTTGCACAAGCTTGCTCTTTAGCTGATGGCGAGAGTTGTCTCCTTCTGTGTCATGGTAATATTATCTTATGAATTAGTGCAGTCTTCATTAAATTTTTCAAAGAGCCCGTATTGTAAAAGAAGTTCAGTTACTTTCCAAAGAAACCGAACACTATGCGGTCTGGATTAAGATATAGACGGTTTGAACAATTACTGGTTTTGTATATTAAAAAAAAAGCATCGTAAGCCTAAAAATTAGATTGTTTTGGGTCAATAAGATGTAATCAACTTGAACGGAATGGAAGTGTGTACTTATTTATACATACAGATAAATTATCCTTTTTTTGGATGCAGGTGCTATCTGTATGGAGCTTGCCAGACAGAAGTGCGAGTCGCACTATATATCACATGCTATAAGAAGTCTCAAGAAAGCAAAAAATACATCTCCAAAACGTTTGCCTATAGTTTCACTATTGCTGGCACAAGCGGAAGCAAGCCTTGGCTCCAAATCGAAGTGGGAGATCAACATTCACGATGAGTGGTTTTCTTGGCCTCCAGGTTTATTTTTTTAAATAATGTATCGAGTTTGTGTTTGCGCCATAAGTTTGAGTTTTCTCTCTCACTGCATTTTATATTTATTCACGTAATCATGGGCGTTTTACACTTGTAACTTACAGTCCGGTGTGTACTCAATTCTGCAGAAAGGAAACCGGCTGAGATCTTATTTCAAATGCATTTGCTTTCTACACAACGGAAAGATGTTTATACACCGTCTTCTAGCCTAGATTATGGCGACACCTCTATAAGATGGATTTTACGAGCGATCCACACAAATCCGTCATGTTCGAGATATTGGAGGTTTTTGCTAAAGGATATTTCATACTAGAGGAGAAACTTTAGGATTTAAGGAAGTAATAGATGTTTTTTTTTTTTTTTTTTTTTTTTTTACGATGATGATTTTCGATTAATAGGAAGACGACTGGTTCTCTCTAATGTTTGTTGTAATTGGCTTGTTATGATTTTTCCAACTTTGCAGTTGCCTGCACATGGGTATTTTCTAATGCATTCTGAAAGAAAGAAATTGTAACATTATTTTTCTGGTGTTTCTCATTTATTATAGCAGCTTAATAGAGACTGATGATTTGACTTTATAGTTTAATTCTGTCGAAGAAAAAGGGAAATAATAATAATAATAAATATTTAATAATGTTGTAATTTGTTATGAGTAATGCCATCTCCAAAATGGCGTGGAGGGTCCGGTGGTGGTGGAAGTTGAGGTGGAGGCGGAGGCAGCAGTGGCGACGGCGGTCGTCGTCGGAAGGCGGCCATCGGTCGGACATCATGAATGACGGCGTGAATTAAAGAATTTTTGTGTTTGATGAACTTCCGCTCGTCTTTTCCTAATTTTCCTCACTTTTGAGAAAAAAATGCGTTTTCCTTATTTTAGGTTAAAAAAGTTTTCCCCTTTTCCTCCCAATTACATTACCCACTATTTTACATTTTAACCAAACAAGGAAAGTTGATTAATTTTAACTTTTCACAATTTTACATATCGTTTTCTACAAACCAAAAAGAGCCTAGAAATTCGGTACATAAGCAAGAAAGATCTATCAACATGCGTTAATCAATCTACATATTCTATCTAACCGAAAATAGTAAACGTTACTAGAACACGATTAATCAATCCACATGTTCTATCTAAACGAGTACAAGAAACACCTACTTATACACGATTTTTTTTCTGAGAAGAACTTATACACGATTAATCAATCTAAATATTCTACAGTGATTAGAGCCAGACTAGGACTAAACTAAACTTCGATTTCCAGATAACTAGCCTGCAATTTATACACGTGTAACAAGTTCAACTCGTTAGAACTTCTATCCTTCAACCCACATTCCATCATCGTCATCTTCAGAAACTTCAGCTTCAACTTCTACATTTACGTCTTCTACATTAAAACGGTCAACTCTGCCACCTGTCAAGTTTAAGCATCGTCGGAGCAATAGTTAGTTGCACATAAAAAAGTTTTTTTTCACTTTTTCTTAAAATATATGTATGTGCCTTTACCTGTAGGAGGGGGCGCCTCCCATGCCACGTCATCTCCTGCATAGTCACCACTACGTTTTGATTTCACGCCAACTTGGCGCTCAGTGGGCGTGTTATAAACTACAGCCACGTGCTTTTTTTCATCTGAAGACTCGATAGGTGTCGAAGTAGTACTGGTCGGTTTTATCTCTGCTTTGGTCTCTTCAAGTTGCTCTTTTGTGAGATTCCTTCCTTCCTTTGTAAACCATGAAATCGCAATTTTTGTTGGTGCCTTAGCATTCTCTGATTTAATATTATCTCCTTTTTTGTCAATAGCAGAGAAGACGACTTCAACCTGTCAAATCCAAGATTTAATTCTTATTTGATTCTACAACAAGCCAAGATAAGAGCTCATTGTGGGCCCGGCCCGGCCCGAATAGTTATTGCACTAACCTAACATTAAATAAGACATAATTATTTAACTAATCATGCTTTTGCAATCAAAGAATAACAGGTATAGGCTTCAGTTATTGTTAGTTCGGCAAATTAGTTAAGTATTAACATAAATATATAACAGCGATTCAGTAGGTTTTGTACTAAACTATTCATATATCCAGAACCATATATTAATCAAGATTTAAATTTTCCAAGGAAATTGACACAAGTGGCATTAACGTAAAAAACAAAAAAAAGGGGTCGGTCCCAACTGAAAGAAAACAACAAGTACTTACCTTAATATCTCCAAAACCAAGGCCTTGAGAAGATCTAGAAGGATCATTGGCATTACAATCTCCATTATCAGATCTGGCAACGGCATTTGCTTTAAGTTCCCAAGCTTGAAAACTTCCAAATTCAGGCACCGGTAAATCCTTTACTCTTGCGAGTTGATCAGTTAGTGGTTTCAGCTGTTCCTGTAATAAAAAGTTAATACAAGTATATATATATATATATATATATATAAATTAATGTTTTTCAGGAGTCTTCACAAAATCTGTTAAATGCGTGCAAATTACCATGTGTAGAACCCAAAACCGGCACCATATTAAAACATTTGATGAAAGAAGCAAAATATTATATGTACACAGTTTGCGACTAAATCTAGATGTATTGGCCCGTCTGTTTAAAATATGCATATCACTCGTTTTCTCAACACAATTGATTTCGTCTATTACACGGCTTAAATACAAAACCATGGCGTTTAAAAAGATAATAGACTTCAAAAGGTATAAACTTAAAATATATATATATTTTTTTATCATAAACCAAGAACAAACCTCCATCTTTGTCAGCATTTCTTTCGAGTTTTCATGGCGATGCGGTTTCGATTTATCAACTCCATTTCCTAATTCCTGAGCAGCTAACGTTTCAATTTCAGCCACAAGCACCCCATTGCAGCTTTCACAGTGAAAGTCCTCGTCGTATGGGGAGATCAATCCGAGGGAATCAAGGGCATTATATCTGGATTTTTATATTTTAAAATTACTTCTGAAACCCTTATAAAATACAGCCAAACACAAAAAGAAGTTGATTAAAAAAAAGAAATACCTCCTTCTGCAATTGGGGCAAATGTACACCTGAACCGCATTCTTGCTCTTCATTTCATCCTTCAGTTTTTTCTTCATCCGGTGTATTCTGTACCTTACCACGTCATATAGCTGCAAACAAATTAAACATCCGATCAGTATAATAAACTTCCACCAAGTGCAAAAAGGAAAAAACTTCCTAAATACGAAACTTTCCCAAAATAATCGATATTTGTAATCTGTTCAGTGTAGTTGTTCAATCTTGAATAGCTAGATTATCATGGAAATTAAATATCTAGGCAGGATTTTTTATTTTTTTTCTAAGGCGTGTAAAGTTCGTCTAGGGCAATTACGTTAATCAATTACCGTAACAATAAACATAAATCCCATTTACATTGAAATGCGAATGTTCTAGAACATCAACTATTCTTTGAGGTGATTCAGTGAGCCAAAAAACCTGTGCGTAGTCTAGACAACAATACGAGTGCGTATGCATCTTGATTTTTTCTTCGCCTTCTCTTCCAGTTCGAAGACTATCTATCTTTGCACCTTTTGCAACCTACAAGCGATCGGAAAAATAAATACAAATTAGGAAATAGTGAAACAAAATAGTAAATTGAACTACCAATACAAGGCTAGCACTAACGGCTGTAAAAATCAGGTTTTATTGACGAATCAAAAAAAGAATAAAAAAATAAAATAAAATAAAAATAAAATTAAAACTAACCTCCTTCCGGTCATAACGAATGACTAATTTTTCTTCTTCGAAGAATCTGAGAGTCCGACGAAGTTGCTTCGTGTGAATTTTCAAGTCCTTGGCCAAATCTTCTTCTCTTACCCACTGACGCCTGTACACGATTCAAATACAACATTGCGATAAATTAAGTTTATTCAACCGAATCATTACGTCTATCGAAAGCAAGACAAAATCAATATCCGAAAGTTTAAATTCATAATACCAACTATTAAATATGTAAAATATTAACATTCTATGAATTGTATAACTAAACTTCACCACTTACTATCCACATCAACATCATCAAAAAAAAAAAAACGAAAAAGACGAGTTAATCGAAAAAATAAACACGAAAAAAAATCAAGTTAATCGAAAAATTTACCTAGTAAGCGCATCGAGAATGACAACGGCGATCCCTCTGTTATCGCTTCTTCCATTCTTGCCCTGGTTCTCACTGTTCGTCGATACGTCGTCGTAAAAAGCCCTCGCCGCAAGTTTCACCAAACTGTCCGTTCCAAAAAAAAAAAAAAAAAAAAAAAAAACATTTTCAACAAACGCTTCAAAATTATCATGAAAAGTTAACGAAACGAAAACCTTGATTTTACAGTAATTACTGTGTAATACCGGTTGAATGGTTCGATGCTACCCATTCTTCCTCGCGCCTTCAGCAAAATTCAGAAAATTAAAAAAGAAGGAAAAATTCTAGGCGATTTCTCTGAAATATTTACTGGAATTTTGATTTTTAATTTTTAATTTTGAAGAGAGATTGGAAGAAGGATGAAAGAAAATGAAGGGGATTTCTAGGGCTGTTCTTGTACTTGAGGGGAAAGGGTTCACGCAGAATGTATGCTGCGAATTCAAATCAGTTCGTACATATAGCTTTACAATTAAGGCTTTATTCCCTTTCTGACCCCTATACTATTGTTTATTATTTGTTTGCCCTTTATACTTTTGTGTTCCATTGTTTAGTCCCTTCTATTAATATTCTAATTATGTTGTGATTTTTATTCACTTTCTAATTTTATTAATAGCTATTTTTTAAATTTAAATAATATTAGTGATCGTACTGTAAAATATTTTTAAAATAATATTTGTACTTTATATCGTAAACCCGAAATACATGCATACTATTTTTAAGTATTATTTTGTTTTACTGACGTGGCTCACTCAATGCACATCGATTAAATCTTAAGAATAATTCTAAAGAAATCTCTATTTTACGATTTGATTCATATGATTACGATTTTTTTGATTTAAGAAAATTTACTATAGTTTGAAGAGAAAATGAATAAAAAATTTTATTTGAGTAATTGAAGTATGAATATGTAATAGGGGTGAAAGTCGGATGGAACGGATCGAAATTAACTTTTTCGGAAATTTCAAATTTTGTTGGAAATACAAAGTTAATTCCAACTCAAATTCTAAAATTTCTTTAGAAATTCATTATGATTCCATTGGTTTAGGAAATTTTAGGGAAACAAAAAAACATAAAGTTCAAAATTTCAAAAAGTTTCAAAAAATTTCGCATACTTTTATAAATGTTGAAAAATAAGACGAAATTTGATACTTATCTTGAGAACCAAACGATATATTTTATAACAATTTAATATGTAAAAATACTCTAATACTCTAATCAAATTTCTACCACTCCTCCAGGCTCCAATGCATATAGTAAAAATATAATTGAATATTTAGTTTCTGAACTAGGTAACATAATTAACATGTAATACATATTGATATTATATGTTCATCCCGAAAAAAAATGGAATTTCTGAAGCTAATTACGGTAATTAAATTATTTCGTAAATTGAAACTTCCAAATTCAATCCAAGAGAAATAAATAAAATTCGAAAATCGAAATTTCAGAAGTCGAAATGAAAAAAATTGTTGGAAATTTGGAACTTTTCGGATACGTTCCAACTTTGACCCGTATGTGTAAAAATGATGTAGTAGCATGAAATAAACCTAGCTAATGCACAAATTAATTGTTTTAACTTTTTAATTTTTCAAGACACTATTTATAATAAGGTCATGTTTTTGAATACCTCAAAAGTTGAAGGACTAAAGTGACAATTTAAGAATTATTCCTTTAAAACAACATCGTCTTCAAAAAAAATCCCACTGATCTCGGTTCATAGTTTTGAATTATTCAAAACTCCCCCAAGAAAAAATCCTAACTCCACGCACAGCTCCACACTCCCAAATCTCACACCACTCTCTCTTTCTCTCTCTACATCTCTCTCTCTCTCATCACCCTCAAACAACAACCAGAAGAAGAAAAACACACACACACAAACACACACCAAAAAGTAAAAAAAAAATATGGAAACCAGATCCGCCAAGAGGAAAAAGCTTTCGATCAACGCGCCGATAACAAACGAAGAAGAAGAAGAAGAAGATAGAATCAGCGATTTACCAGATGACGTCATCCACCACATTTTCTCGTACCTTCCGATCAAATCCGTCGCGCAGACGAGCCTCCTCTCGAAGCGGTGGAGCAGCATCTGGCGCAGCTTCCCAGATCTCGACTTCACCACCGTCGCTGCCCTGACCACCACCACCAACCCCGCCGCCGCCGCCGCCCTGACCAGCATCACCACCCCCGCCGCACTCATCTCGAGCCTCCGCCGGAGAGTCCAGCACCACGTCTCGAAAGACGCGAAGTACGCCGATCAAATCTCCGCCCTAATCGAGAAGCGCCACTCCGACATCCGCGCCGTGAAATTCCGAGCCTTCGTCACCTTCTCGACGCTGAACCGGCTGATCCGCAACTCCGTCAAGCGCAACGTGCAGGAACTCGATGTCGAGGTATTCACCTGCGATTACTTCAATTTCCCCCGAATCGTGATGAACAGCGCCGCATTGAAAACCCTAAGATTGAAATCGTGGCACCCGGGTTTCAGATTGCCCCCTTTACAGATAATGAAGGAAGGGTTAAAATCTCTATCAGTTCTATCCCTATCCCGCCCGATTTTGCACGATAGCCCCTCACTTATCGACTTATTTACGAATTCGTCCTTCCCCTCTCTCAAGAAGTTGCATTTGGAAGCATGTTTCGGGATGACACATCTCAAAATCGAGTGTCCGGCGTTGGAGGACTTATGCCTCGAGCACAATTTCCAGCTGCACGATCTCGAAATCTCGTCCCCGAAACTCGAGAAGCTACGAGTTTTTAGCTGCTTCGACGCGAGTAGTAATAGCAACATCAGCCGCGTGAAAATCGAGGCCCCTCTCCTGAAAAACATCGTCTGGTCGTATAACGCCGTCACACAAGAATGCGTGTTGAACAAGTTAACTTCATTGCACGAGGCCGTTGTGGGGTTTTTCGTACCCAACGAGGATTTAAACGCCGCGAAATTCCGCAGCGTGTCGAACTTTTTAACCGGGATTTCGTGTTGCAAGTCTTTGACACTCGAAAGCCAGTGTATTGAGGTGCTTTATTTTCTTGTCTTAATCGCATCTGTTTTTTTTACGGTACGAATTAACTGACGAGTTTTCGTTCGGGTGTTTGTAGATTATGTCGAAAAACGATCGAGTTTCGATGTGTTCTTTCGGGAAACTCAAGTGTTTGGAGTTGAGTACGGGGTTCGAAAAACACAACAACTCTGCATTGGCTGGTGTTTTTAGAAGTGCTCCTACAGTTAACACTGTCACAATCAAGATTCTTGGTGATGACAAAGCTGAAAGACGAGTGAGTTTATCACTAATTATTTTAATTGCTAAAACCCCCCTTTATTTAGCATAAATTGTTAAAGGGGTTGTTGGTGGTGTTGTTTTTTTTTTTTTATTGAAGGGGTATTTGTGTCATTTTTCAGTTGTTCAATTAGCATAATGATGTAAGTGCAACGAACTAAAAAAAATGTAACATATATAACATCTATCATCATCAACTTATTTTTTTAAACTTGCATGGAGTTTTATGTTTATGAACTTATTTGTAGTACCTATTATACCCCTAGCTCTAAGTTAAAATATGGAGTTTCATCATACTTAATAAGTAAAATGTGATTGATGTAATGTCACAATTAAAGAAGGGCAAATTACGGTCACCCCGGAGGTAAGAGCAAATTATGAAAAAATCCTTCTTATTTTGGTAATTACAACTACTCCTCTTAACTATGCATTTTTTTTACGAAAATACACCTCAGGTAAATTTGACGTCGTAACAGTGGAAGTGTAAGACAATACATATACAGTTGATGGTTGGTTGTAATTACCCAAACATAAAGGGTATTTTCGTAATTTGACCTTACATTAGGGGGTTGGCCGTAATTTTGTCCATTAATGAATTCAATATATTGTACTCTCTTATCTTCTCATGATCATTTTAATTACCACAATCTTTGTTTAATTCTTCTCATGAAAGACACGTTCATCTCTTGTTTTTTTCTTCTCCAAAAATTATCTTACTTTCAATGTCTAAAAATATTTTTTCTTGTTTAAATTTTCCATGCATAAATTTCTATTTAGAATATAATTATAAATATATTTTCCGCAGCAGTGGAACAAGGATCTATGGCAATCTCCTAGCTCGGGGGAAGAACGGTATTGGGAATCGCAAACGCAATATTTGAATTCATTTCTTCGTCACTTAAAAGAGGTAAGGATTTTCGGATTTACGGAATGCGCTAACGATGTTAGTTTGGTGAAGTTCTTGCTCAAGCATGGCAAAGTATTGCAACAAGTGTTTATCTTCACAAGTCTCTCCAAGCCAAGAGATTCCCTTTTGAGAGAAAAGATCAAATCGCAGATTATGGGCTTTTCTCGGGCTTCTTCGAACGCTAACATTGTTTTTAAGTAGTTTTAATTTTCGGGAAATACAATGAATTAATGGGATTTTCAATAATACCTTGTTTCGAAAAATTAATTGCCCGGGTGTTTGTGTGATCTAACTTATTAGTTATTATAAAGAGGTTTGTTGATATTTTTTTTTTATGTTATTGATCGATCTTTTGATGTTTTTGTGAATTCTTTTGTGTTTTCTAAAATTTGTTACATATAAATTGGAGTGTAAAACTCTAAGAGTATGATATATTAACGAATTAGGCCAAATTTCACTAATAACCCTCATCTTCTTATTTAGTCCTCGTGTCTCTGTTGTCTCATTTTCATCCATCAACCAAAAAAATTGTCTCATTGTAGTCGTTCGGTGTATAATTTTAAAAAAGTCTTATATTTATTGGATGAGATATTCCATTTTATAATTATTTCTAATAAACTATAAAAAAATATAATAACAATATAAAAAATAACGTATATAATCAAATTAGTTCTTTAAATATTAACATAAAATCATTACGAAAATTCGAATGAAGAATAAAAGTTGATGACATATTATAATTATTAGATATGTTCCTAACTTCAAGTCATATGAACAAAATAAAACTTAATATTTTTTATAACTTTTTTAAGTTATATTTTTCTTGGTTGCAAATACAATTTTTAAATTATAAAACTATTATTATTTTCAAATTTTATCAAAAATAATTAACACTGGAATATTCCACCAAATCTTAAAGAGATTTTGTTGAAGTTAACAAATTTAAACACCAAAAATTATAATGAGATGAATATAGAAAAATGAAGGATGCAAATGAGACGATTGAGACATGAAGGACTTAATGAATTATGACTGAATTTTAAAAATCTTTTGTTAATTTTATAAATATTAAACTCCCTTTACCTTCTTGTTAGTTCAGGTCATCGGATCCATTATTTTCGTTGACCAATTGAAAATTGACTAAAATACCCTCAAATAAAAAACAACATTATTATTTATTACATGGTGATTTTCTGAAGAAAAACAATGTTTCAACTAAGGGTGACAATTGGAACAAAATTTTCGATTGTCTTTTAACTCCCATCCAAATTATTTCACTATTTGAACAATATTTTTCAATTTGAATTCTGAAAATTCAGGTTTCAATTTTTCGAATCTTTTTGGATCCAAATGGGATTATATTTAAGATTTCGATTTCCGATCCAATTACAATTTCCAAAAATTCCATTTTTTTTCGAAAACAACACTTACAATATCAATACTACTATTCAATTCTTACCCTTTAGATGACTAGAATTTTCAGAAGCACATCGCTTCCAATCCAAAAATGTTCAATTTCAGAGCGAG